CTTTCAGGCTGGACCTGACGTGAGCCGAGAGAGATTTACTCCTGAGCCTCTGCTTCTCTGACCAGCTGGGAGATTCATAATCTCACTTTTGTCAAAACCACACAACTTTGAGATGCTGATTGTTTTTTTCTTCTTCTTGAAGACAGAGCAGCTGCGCTATTATGAATTCACCCCGGTGCTTTATTTACCACAGAGATGCTTTCAGGAAACAAATTCCGAGACATCGCCGCGTTTATCAAAGATGAGTATGCAAAGCGCTGTTGTCTAATATGTCTTCCTGGTGGCTCTCAGCGGGCCTAATCCTGACAAATGAATAATTCAGCAGATCAAGTGGAGGAATTTAAATAATCCACTCTCCACAAAACACTCTGCAGCCCGACTCGGCTACATTCACACCACCCTGCGGTGTTTACGAACAGGACCGAGGACAGCCTCTTCCCCACAGAGTTTATCTTGATGTTTCGGTCCAGACTCACCGCTCCTGCAGCACTTCTAGCAGAGCAGAAATGTATCTTTTCAACACCCACCAGTGTCTCCAGCAGCGCCGATCTCAGCTCAGACCCAGTGAACAGTGGAGTCCGTGAATACGCTTCCATCTTTTAACCACTCAGTTCTTCAAGGGGTTTGGCAACAGACTGTGTTAATTCAGGATTTCTTATATAACATAATCAATATGTAATAAAAACTATGATAGCAATAACTAGAATCAGCAAATATTTCAGATACTATAAAAAAGTGTTCTTGAAGGAAATCAAAAACTTTTGTTATTATATTACTAAAAATGTTCAGTTTTAAAAACTTTCAATGTTTAAATCCATAGTAGGATAAGATCTGTCATTAATAAAAACACATTTATTTATTTAAGCCCAAAAGAGTCGTAGTGAGATTTCATTTGTTTGCAGCAGCATTTCTTTGTTATGCAGAACAACTGAGACGTACTGTTGCCATTGCGCTTTTCTTTCTAATACTAAAATATCTCAGGGATTAAGTTTGTAGTTAAGCTTCTTTACACTGATACAAACAGGACTTTTAGTGGTCAAGTGGCTGCATGTGGCTCCCCAATGTCAAATGAGTTTGACGTCCCTGTTCTAGAGCTTTTGAGCTAATCTGTACTGGGCAGCTGCACTAAAACCACTCTCCGCCAACTGTAATATTGTGTGGGTCCCCCTAGTGTCAGTGAATTAGTTATTACCCATCAGAATAAGGGCACTGGGCCTTTGTGAGGTGGACCTAGCCGTTTCCACATCCATGACTCTCACGGACACTGGAGCAGATTTGGATCCAGGAACTCTGGATCATTAACTTTTCCAGAGCACACGACTACCAGGACCAGAGATTTCCTCAGTTTAACAGTAAGAAGTACAGTGAACTCATTGTTGTGGACAGCAGTTTGTGCAAAATACAGTACTGTGCAATGTGTCCAAGATTTGAACTCCTGTGTCATTTTAGCTTGGGGAACGTGGGGAATTTAAAAACCAGCTGGAACTTAAGATCCCACAAGTTATTACCTGCCTTTTCACAGTGAGTTATTTGTACGGTGCACATGGCGAACAATGGAACATTCCAGTGATCAGGAAAAGCATCATAAGAATAAACTGCAATACACAATTCAAAGCAATTAAAAAATAAAAAACACTTTTTTATAAGTAAAAAAGAAATATATTAAAGTAAATAAAAATGTGTTTTGGCAGGGGAGACCAACCGTAGACACAAATTTCAAGACACAGACAACATACCTCCATTTTTGTATATGTAATTATGACATTACTGAGCGTCTGCACACTTACTTTTTAATTAAGTGCTAGATGTTTTTAAACTCTCGGTTATAAACATCATTGTAAAAGTTCAGTATTGGTTGGGCTACGTAATTAAGGGTCAGGGTTTGTGGTGCGTCTGTGGAGACAGAAGGAGGCAGAAATCACCAGGCACCTCAAAGTATTCTGTAAACGTTTTCACTTTTATTTTCTACATTTGGATCAGCTCAGTGTGGAAGCCTGGACATGTCAGTTCATTTCAAACCCACCTCCTAACCCGACTCCCGAATTTAGAACAATCGATACGCTCCCCGTCTGTCCCACAATCAAAAAAACTCTCACGTCTTCACCACAGTCACTCGATCAGACATGAAAAGAAACCCCAAAAAAACAACCTGTTGATGGCCTCCACTCACTGCCATGTCCATGGCGAAGACGAACTGATGTCGTGTCCTTTGTGTAAACCCTTCCTCCATTGGAGGAAGCTGAAATGTTTAAAAATCATTTTTTGAAATCACCTCTGGTGCCCTGACTCGCAGCGGCAGAAGCGATTAAAAAAACAACAACAAAAAAACAAAGAATAAGAATAAAGAAGGCGTGATAGTGGAAATGAAAAAGACACGCTGTCTACCTCTGACTGAGATATGAATAGTGAAATGCTGCAGGTGCGCTTGCCAAGTGAGAGAAATGTAGTAATGGATTAAGATATGTCATCTGCTGTGCTCTCTGTAATCACACAGTTCAACCCTTTCACTCCTTTTGGCTCTCTACAGCTTTTATTCTGTCCCTGATTAATTCTCATAGCGGTGCCACGTTCCTGCTGTAGATATGTCCGCAGGGGGAGTGCAGGGAACCCGGCTCTGTGTAAAAAATAACAGCGTTTTGCTCTTTTAGTACGGCGGAGGAAGCAGGGGTATGCTAATCTGCTGCCAGTCTACGCTACGGGTGCTTGCTCGTCCAATAGCGAGGAATCGGAGCGCCGTTTGTTCTAGTAAACAGGGAGCTAATGGGCTGGGATTAGTACTGAAGAAACACACGCTCACACCCACACAAATGCAAACATCCACACACTCCGCTGGAGGAAAGAAGCCCTTGGAGTGTTTTTGTTTTTCTTTAAGAGGTCATTGAGAAGACGATATGACAAAAATGGACTGAAGTATCAGGCTTAGGCAGCCTTTTTCCTATATGTATACAGCATGTGTGTCTGTCTGTGTGTTTATGTGTGGCAATGTAGTGCCTTACTGGGGAGATCCACGTGGTTGAACACTACAATAGGCAGTGAACATCAGTAACAGACTCATGTATCCTCTGAGTGTGTGTGTGTGTTAGCTCTATGTTAAATATCTTTAAAGACAACAGAGACGTACAGACAAACTAGGGTTACTGAAACAGTAGAAACAGACAAGCCATGTAAAAACTGGACATAGAAATCTTAAGATATCACAAACATCATAATTCTCTATCTCTAGATTTCTGCTGACGGCAGACGTCGGTCCTCGTGATCGCTTTCTTGTTTTGTTTGTTTTTTTGTGTGTATGCGTTGTCCCTCTGCACGGAGGCTTCAGCCTGGAAGATGAAATGCTAAACTGTAACACCAGAGGGAGACACACACTGCTGCAAGACCATAGGACTGGCTCTGATGCACACACACACACACACACACACACATCACAGCTTCTCACACATGCACACGTGCACAACCTTCTTCACAGGAGTACATTTTCAAAATCCATAAAAAATTAAATAAAATAAACATGAAAAACGAAAGAAAATCAACAAGGAATTCAGTCCCCTTCTCAAAGCATACATTCATCTCAGTACACGCACACGCACACACACAAATAAGTGCACACACTCTTGTAAGAGGCAGTCAGTAAACGTTAAGTGATGAGTTGAGCGGTGGACTGCTTTGTCCGGGGGAAGCTGTGATGACTCCACCAGTTAGTTCCTCGTATCCGCACATGTGAGCGAGTCAACTCTCCGCGGTTAAAATCTCTTTTTTCTTTTAAAAAACCCCAAAACAAAATGAATGTAAAACAACAGCCATCGTCTCTCTCAGAGGGAGGCTTTTCTCTCTTCTCGCTTTAAGGAGGCTTGTACGCACTCCTCCCTCTGACGTCCGGCAGAGGTAGTACCGTCCAATCTCTCCTCCTTCCTTCCCAAATCCCAGTCTAGGGAAGTCTTTTTCATTCCTGGTGCTGAAAAAAAAAAAAAAAAATCACATCCGTTCCCCTTTACTTTTTATTCTGGGCCGCTGTGTGTGTGAATGTGCGCATTTGGAAGTGTGAGGAGTGTGGTCAGAAGACCTCTGGTAGTGTGACATTGCGGAGCAGCCACTGTTGGGAGCGTGTGTGCGTGCAGTCTCTGACGCTGGGCACCTGGCTGTCCTCCTCGCTGGCCTTGTCCAGACACTGGTTACTGTTGACGTGGATCAGGGTCAGCTTCTGCACAGCACAAAAACACAAATCAGTCTTTAGAAAGGTTCATTTAAAGGAACATGTAAATCTCTTTTTGGTTAAAACAGCACATGGACTTTGTTATACTTTGAATATCAAATTCTGCTGTGCGAGCCTCTGAGGATCAGTTTTAGCTCTCTGTGGTGTAAATGCTGTGGTTAGGTTGGGTAACGAGTCAACGATGATATATCTCCAAACTGTGACAAGAAATGATGCTAGGTTGAATTACGTGCACTGGGATTAGAAAAGATTCATTATTTATATTTTAATTTAGATTCCATTTTGATAGATTTGCTCACAGTTTACTGTAAACTGCTGCTGAACATTAATTTGCATTTTTAACAATGTGAATATTTGTTTGTTTACATTGCATTTTCCAGCTTTGGAAAAAGCTCATTCTGAAAGAATCAGAATGAGCTTTTATAACTTTCAGAGCACTTTCTATTGCAGCTCCTTGGTAATGGACTAAATTGTCTTTGCAAATTAAATAGGTTCTGTGAGACTACATGTTGTGAAGAGGCAGGACGCAGGCACAGGTGAACTTAGAGTGAGCTGGTATTGAATGCAAAAGGTAAACAAAAAGTCAAGAGGGGAACACTGGAAAACCAGGAACTGAAATCAGTCTACACTGGGGAATACAGGCTAATGAGGGAAAGGAACAGGCACAAACCCAGGAGCAGGAACACAGACCAAAACCAGGGATAAACAGACGATCAGACAACGACAAAGAGGAAGACTGCAACTATAAATACAGAGAAGGGTGATTGGGGCAGAGAGGAAACACGTGGGGAACACAACTGAAACTCACGGGGGTGGGGGGTGGGGGAAGTAAAACTGAACACTAAACAAACCTAACAAGAGGGGTGATGAAGACTTGACACAAAAGAGAAAATATACAAAACTAGAGACTAACTACACTAAGAACAGAACGATGGAAAATTTGCATGAATGTAAACTCAAACAAAACCAAGAAACATAGATTTACATGAAGAAAACTACAAAGCCCATAAACCTCAAAACTAACAAGGTTTCAGACCCGGGACCCTCACAGGAAGCTACACTGCCCAACAATATACTGTCTATACTCTTTGGGCTTTGACCCAGTGTGACACATTGATCTTATTTGCTTTTTATTGTATGATGGTCATTTTTACTTGTGTCGTTTTGCACCCTTTAGTTCCATTTTACTGTCCATCCATCCATCCATCCTTGTTTATCGTGCTGGGTGGGCTGTACCCTATCCCAGTTACCAAAGGGTGAGAGGCAGAGTACACCGTGGACAGGTCGACAGTGTGTCGCAGAGCTAACCCAGAGAGACAGACAAACCATTCAGTGTCTTCTTGCTGTGAAGCAACAGTGCTAACCACTGTGCCCATTTTATTTTATTTTATTGTCTTTCTATTTTATTTATTTCTAATATACAGCACTGTGTCAGCCGTTGCTGTTTTAAAGTGCTTTAAAAATAAAGTTGGAAGGGAATTTAACGTCCTAGGTTTTCCTGCTGTAAATGAACTATTTTCTGTGCCTGTCAAGACCTTTGTGAGAGCTCACAGTATTCAATTTAATTCAGTTTTATTTATAAAGCACCAACTCCCAATAACAATAACCTCAGTGTGTTTATACTGTAAGCTATAAACCTACAGTATAATGGTACGACCCTATAGCATTCAGGAGAAAACCCCAACAGTCAGGGAGAAGAAAAGAGAGAGGCAGGACAAAGGACACACTATGGGAGAGAACCAGAGTTTAATAACTACTAATGATTAAATACAGTAGTGGTGACACCAGCTTCCAGTTTTCACAAAAAGACAACATCCGATGACCTCCCCTGTACCCTTAATGTAAAGTTTTCAAACCTACAGAAATGCTCTGTCGACCATTAGAAATGTTTTTTCCACTGGTAGCCCAGGTAAGCTGTACAGGCAGAGATCACCCTCACTGGCTATTGTTTTATTTTGGAAGCAGGCATAAATATGAAATCTGACAGAATCCCCTCAGTTCAGAAAAGAGAAATAAGGATTACCCCAAGTAGGCAAAACCTTGATTGGTCAAGGTTTTATACATGACGACAAAGATTTTATGATCTCTCTTTCTTTAACTGTAGTGTTCTGGTTTAACTGAAGGCTTTTCAGGCTGCTTTTATAATAAGATGATACTAATGACTTATAACAGTCCAGGTGATGAACATATTAACCACCTTTTCAGCATCACTTTGAGAAAATGCTTTTTTTATTATGTCTTCCACTTACCAGAGGGTCGTACTCCCAGAGCTGGTTGCCTTTGAGGTGATGGCACTTGAGCATCATGACGGGTCCGTTTAGCTTGGACACGTCTAGACACAAGTCATCTGTCCTGATCTCCTTGTTGGCCGTATAGGAGAAAACCTGCAGACATCACACACAGACTTTCTCTCTTTTTGTGCCGAGAATAACTCTGATGTCAACCGTGATCAACATTTACACTTTAATTCATGTGTAGTTACAGCGTTTTGTTATCTCTCTGTTACCTGGTTGCCTCCCATCCCGTGACAGTTGAAAATGCCGACCTTCTCGTTCTCCTTGCGGGCCATGTTGTCCAGACACTGGTTAGTCTCCACATTACGGATCTGAGCCAAACACACAGGAAGCAGGTTCAGTGCTTGAATATACACCCACGCCGTTTGATCCATACAGATTCAAGTGTTGCTTGTGTGAGCGAGTGTACCTCTCCCAGGGAGTAATAATGCCGAGGGATCTGGGAGTCAGGGTAGATGTTCTCCAGGTACCAACTGAAGGGTTTACACTGAAGCTTTTGCCTCAGAGCAGTGCGAGACGTGATGTCACCGTAGTCTACTTTGGTCACACCTGGACACGCAGACACACACACACAAAAAGGTCAAACAAAACACTGCATGCTGCCATTCCCCCCGTGTGTATAAGCTTTATTTAAACTGTGTTAGGATTGAGCAGAAAAGGCCCACATGCTGATCTGAAGCAGCCAAACGTTCAAAACTTCTAAATCGTTTTTTCTTTTTTTGGAAAAGAACATGAAATAAGTTGTAACACCTGGGCTGAAAATGACCCAACAATGACAACAAACATGTGCCTGATGAAGAGCAATGGAGGTCAATAATCTTTTTCATATAATAACTGATAGTAACTACATCGAAAATGGAGCTAGCACACTGTGGAGGTCCAGTTTCCACTTATGTGTTTTATGCTTACAAATAAAAAAACAAAAACCCTGTAACGCTGAGATGCTACTCATATCATTTTGTTGAGTTATGATTGAATTGTGTTTAGAAACGGTGCAGCCCTTTGGCTTGAATTCAGTGAAGTCTGGCCCGTCTAGCAAGACAGTCCACTTCTTGTTTTTTCAGTACAGTACCTTTACATACTCACTCAGCAGGACGGGACCATGAAATCATGCACTCAATTACTTCAATTATTAGCTTTGTCTTTTAACTTTGGGCCACTATTACAACTATAACTTTCCCTTATATCCGTGCTTTCATGTATCCATTCAGGTTAAAAGCTCATCAAATTGAATCCAGGAGACACACAGTCTCTCTGCTTTTAAGATTAGGTGTAAAACGTTCTTTTTTGATCAAGCATATAGTTAGGGCTGGACCACTCTGCATTTAATCGTTAGTTATTATTAATCTGTGTCTCTCTTCTGTCCTGTCTTCCTTGCCTAACCCCAACTCGTAACAGATGGCTGCCTCACCCTGAGCCTGGTTCTGCTGCAGGTTTCTTCCTGTTAAATGGAGTTTTCCTTTCCTACTATTGTCAAGTGCTTGCTCATAGGGGCCGTCTGATTGTTGGGGTTTTCTCTCTATTACTGTAGTGTTACAATATAAAGCGCCTTGAGGCCACTGTTGCTGTGATTTGGTGCTATATAAATAAAACTCAATAAAACGGAACTGAATTATAATCTCATTGTTATGCCCGGGAACTGATCTAATTAGGGCTGATGCTTTCATCCAGCTCTGTAAGACCTGTATTATACAACTTGTCAGGTTATTGAAACAAGCGTAAGAAAGACAGAAGAGCGCCCCCTGTCAACAAAACTGAGAGAGGTATAAATGTGTTCCACGAGATGCTTCGCATCTAAAAATATTCTTCATTTCAGTAGCTCTGCTTCTCTTTTGGTTACTTTTTTGCTGCAAGCTTGTGTGTGTGTGTTCATGCAAGTTAACACATGCTTTGTAGCGTGAAATTACTCCCTGCCTCCCCCCATCATGCACTGTTGGGTCACCACTGCAATATCACGCAGTCAGCGGGTTAATGGATAGATCACACCTGTCACAGAGATTAACCTCCACACGCGAGCACATACATGAACGCAAACACGCGCACACACAAACACACAAAATGTGGCAAAACTCACCAGGAGAGATGATGTAGAAGAAGTTTTTAAATTCGTCCATCCAAACTTCTGCCAGACGCCGGTTGTTTTTGTTGATGATCTGTCCTGTTCCTCCTGGAAACGTATAGGGCGTCGCCTTTCTGAAGACGTGACCCACGTGAGAGCACGTGACAATCTCTAGCGTCCCGCCACACTGCCAAATCTATGAGAAACAAGCCTTGTCAACACTAATTTAGAGAATAAATTGCAGAGTAGACACACTGTAAGTCCTGGGCGCTGAACGAGCTAAGACAGACCAGTGAACTCAGCTGGGAGATGGATGACGCAGACTGGTCCCGGCTGTGCCAGTCTGAATAAATTTGACTCAACGCCAGACGGGATGACGTCTGACGAAGTCTTAGTCAGGTCAACAATTTATTCAGTGAAGTCAATCTAGAGGTGTAACATCTGTGTGTGTTTTTGAACCCTAGCTGACACTTCTGAATGGAAGAATAAAGTCATGTCAGTTGTCAGTGGGTGTGTTCACTCACTCTGAAAGAGATTTCCAGGTTCTCTCCTCCCCAGATGTCCATGCCTGCGTCATATGTGCCAATCTCCTGGAAATAATCTCTGTCTATGGAGAACAAGCCGCCTGCCATGGTGGGGGTCCTGAACAGAGACATCAGAGAAAAGGTAAATTAGGAGAAAGGCAGGTTAGTGCCACTTAAATCACTGACGGCCGGCTTTTTAAAGGTCATCCAGTATGTACACATTCCATCAGGGTTTTATATTTCACTCCTCTCACTCCCTGTTATTTGCTGATTTCCTGTTTTTTCTCCTCTCTTCGCTGTTGCTGTGACAGTCATGTCAGAGTTAAACGGCCTCGAGGCCTCTTTCCATTTTCCCTCCCGCTTACAGAACGGCTTCCTCCTCTTTAGAGCTCATTCTTCTCCACTGCCTGTTTTCGCTTTTGCTTAAAATCTCTTACAAAAACACAATATGTTGCACACAAACAGACAAACATATCCTGAACGTGCACAGTTTGATGGTGCATGTCCAGCAGTTGGCTAAGAGCGGGAAATAATAAGCAACCCAGAAATGGAAAAACAGTTCATCAAACAGTTCGTAAAATGTGGCTTTATAACAAAAGACAATAACGACGAGGCCAACACAACAGATCTATGTATCCTTTCCTTTTTTCCTGAAGAGATATCAAAGCTTTCTAAATGCCCCAGCTTACAATAAATCACTTGTTTTTACGACACTCAAACACGTCGCAGTAAAACAAAGAAAACCCACTAATTTACAGCAAATCCTGGATTCTAATTAAAGTCATTTATCTAAACAGGGACCGGCCCTTACGTACATAAAAGCGTGGTTCATCATCTCAACATATCACAAGACTGAAATAAACACAAACACTGCCACTGTATAAAGCATCAAAGGCAGATAATACTCAGCTTTGTGTTTGAAGCATACAATATCAAAATGACACATTTAGCAAGTTCAGAGAATTTCTTCAGATCTTTTCTGTTTGTTGTATTTTTTTTAAAGTCCAACAGCGGCAAATACAACCTTCCCAAGTGAGTAGAGACTTCTGCACATTGCCGTAAATTACAAGGTAGATGAGCCCATAATAACTAGCTTAGCTGCTGATTTCCTCCTCTGCTGTCAACATATGCAGCTCCTCAGAGAGTGACAGCAAAAGACCTGCAGTTTGCATCGTCTAATGAAGAGAAATTCCCCCACCAAATGCACAGCTTGAAACCACATCAGCATTATTCGTTACAGTTTTTTTTTCATTCTGCAAACTCCATACGTGCAATAATGTGAAAGTGCTCTGTGGCAGAACAGGGTTTTTATGTAAATCGTGTCATTAGTGGAAATTAATTTTCTGCCCTGACACAACAACCCAGTTTTGTTTTTTAGGCCACTTAAAAGACACCCTAAGGAAAATTTTGTCAAGCAGAACTGAGAAAAACAACCGAAATCGGGGGCGCGGGGTGTTACATAAGCTACATTATGTGTGTGTGACCTTGAATATTGGCATCAAGCATGCTTAGAAACAAGAGCAGGAAAAAGAGATGATAGACAGGCAGAAATAAGCTCTTGATTTTAGTTCCAAGGTCTACAAACAACAAAAAAAGCCCCTCAAAACAAAAAACACAATCTTACATAAACATCTTGCATTGAACAGAAGTGGAAAGTTCACTCTATTCTTTCAGTATTCCTGCCTTGAGAACCTCTTATGATGAACTGCAGCAGCAAACTGAATGGTAACATATACACTGTTGTAGCAGCCATAGAATAAACAGGGATTGAAAAAGATAAAGAGTTCAGGATTTTTGCCTGCTATAGGAAGGCTTAGGCGCAGTGCCTAAGTGTTTCTGATTAAAGAATGTAAAGGCCTTTAGGCGACATATCACAATCAGTGAGTTTTATGCAGAACTGGGCAGCCAGGAGCTCACAGTGTGAGCAGAGGTCCTGTGGCTCCTTCTCTACGTAAAAGCAGGTGTCAGTGTTTAAAACATCTATGAACGGGATGAGACTTAACTATCCTTTGAGTCATGATAAGAAAGACTAAAAAAAAAGAAAAGAAGGTCAGTCTGGTGAAGTTTAATGACAGCAAACTGAGCTTACGTCAACGTGCCAGGCTGCAGTTCAGGTCTCTCTAGTTTTCTTAACTGAATTGGGCAGGGTTTTGGTTGTTTTGGTGTGCATGTGTTTGGTTTCGACCACTGTGCTGTTTCTGTGTCTTTGTGCCTGACAAAAGCGAGTGTGAAATACAGAAATAAACTAGTATCCTGAAACGGTAACCTGTGTTCATCAACTGCAACTTGGAAAAGATAACTGCTTCCTGTGTGTAAACATGTTCATATGCAATTGCACAAAATAAACTTTTGGCTTTAATGCCGCAATATACAATCGTGAACTGCTGGAAGCAGTGATGAGAGCATGGGTAGACTGTGGTCATAAAGGGACGGACATGGTCAGCAACAATACTCATGTAGGCTTTGGTTTTTGATGATTATTAGTTGGTACTAAAGGGAAAACAGTTTGCCAAGAAAACATCTGCCACACTATTACATCACCACCTGCAGCCTGAAATGCTGATATAAGACAGGATAGATCCATGCTTTCATGTTGTTTAGACCAAATTCTGATCCTATCATCAACTGAATGTCATAGCAGAAAGTGAGACTCATTAGACCAGGCAACATTTTTCCAATCTTCCAATCTTGTTTTGGTGAACACAAGCAAACTGTAACCTCAGTTTCCTGTTCCTAGCTGACAGGAGTTGCACCCGGTGTTGTCTTCTGCTGATGCAGCTCATCTGCTTCATTCAGAGATGCTCTTCTGCATACCTTCCAAAAATACCTTAGTCATTTGAGTTACTGTTGCCTTCCTATCAGCTCAAAGCAGTCTCTGTCTATTTTCCTCTGACCTCTGGCAACAACAAGGCACTTTCCCCAGATAATTTCCACTCACTGTCTTCTCTTTTTTGCACTATACTGTGTATACCAGATGGTGGTTTAGGAGATACTCCGTCAAAGTCACTTAAATCACCCTTTCTCCCTATTCTGATGGGGTGTACCAAATTTAGTGGCTTTTGAGAGTACGACTCATTTTCAGGTTGAAAGATGGAGCAAACCGTTTCAAAGGATGGAGGGTTGCAGTAGGAGGACTGTGGTATCAGCTGTGACTGTATGGCAAAAGTAATAGTTTACATGGATCAAAGGGTAAGATTTAAGGGCCTCTCTGCAGAATTTAGTTAGATCAGGACTAACCCAGGGTCATAGATGTCCTTTGGTAAAATGAAAAGACTTAACTTGAAGCATAGAAACTGCTGTCAGTCTGTTTTATAAGTATGAAAAGGATAATAGCAATGAAATTTAAAGACTCATCTTGCTGTGTGTACCACCCACCTGACAGGCAGCGTGCGGTCTCCTTTGCGTCGGTCCATCTCCCTTTGAGGTACAGGGTACCAGCGGAAGTTGAGCTTCCAGTTGAATCCTCCGTATGTCATGTCAGAGCCTGCCATGTACTCAAAGGTATCATCGCTGATAACGTCGATAATGGGGCACACCACTGTTTTCCTACAGTAAACAGAAACACATCAGCACACAAACACAGTACATCAACCTGCTGTTCATAACCCTGGGTGGACATCAATCAAGGCTAAAAGCTCATCTACAAGATGTGTCACCTCCAGAACCAAAAACAGTCATAAGCCAACTTCTCACCAGCTGTCAGTCATCTCTCATTACACCTTTGTAAACCCTGTGCGTTTTCTCCATGTGCTGGTGTGAGTGTGTGTGTGTATACCTGCTTACGGGTAGCAGTAAACAGAGAATGAGTAATTAAGCGTAAGATAAACACAAGGGCAAGCCACCTGCAGGCTCAACAATACTTTATTGATTTTCTTTTCCAGGCTTGCCAATGGTCTGCGTATCTTTCGTGTTTGTGTGCCTTACCTGTCTTGTTTGATGCGGGCAAGCAGAGGCTCCAGCCATCCTGTTGTGCATTCACAGTGAGCATCCAGAAAGGTTATGACCTGAGAACATGGAGGGAAAACATAAGACAAATCTACAGTGCAAACACAATATGGAGAGCAGTTGCTGTGGATGTCACGTATGTGGACATGCGCACACACCTGGCCAGTGGAGATAGACGCTCCCTTGAGGCGTGCGCGGATGAGCCCGGACCGCTGCTCCATCCTCACGACTCTGACGGGGACTTCCAATTTTCTCACATACCTCTCCAACTGCTGTTTGAGGAAATCTAATAAATGCATATATAAACAGATAAGAATGCAAAACAGGCGCCTACAAAACAAAAGCTGGATTACAAGCTGTTCCTCCAACCCACTCCATTTGTAGCAGCAGGGATCAGAGATAACTGTGTGCTTGCGTGTTTTCTTTCACGTATGTGGCCTTTTCATACGATACCTCTTGTACCCGCTAGGAGCTTCTCCATCAGCTTGAACACAAGTGCAAACATAAACACACAATCCGTGACCTGCACCATCTAACCTGAGGTCTCGTAAGGTTGCTTCTGCTGGTGGTAGTTGGTTGGGGTGGGGGGGTAGGTGGGGGATTGAGGGTAATAACAGAGTGTAATCCCTGCGTCTGGCAAATTAAAGACCTAATCTCCCCCAAACAGGGATTAACAGTACTGCACAGGGTGGAGTGGCACACACAGCCCTCATACATGCACTGACTATCTCTTGGGCACCAGTACAGGCACATACACACATGTGCAAAAACATCTACCTACGCAGAATCCAGCAAAAATCATAGCTCTAAAAAATAGGCTAAGCCTCAAACTAGAGAGAGACTGAAGGAATTATCTGCAGTGAGTGTTACTGTGCGTGTGTGTGAGTGTGTGAGTTTACCTCTCTCGCTGGCATCATCCACCAGAACAATCTCCTCCAGCAGTGTGTGTGGAGAGCGGTCAATCACGGAGTGGACGGTTCGCAGCAGCGTGGTCCACGCCTCGTTGTGAAATACAATCACAACGCTGGTGCGAGGAAGATTATCGGGGTATAACTTGTTCTTGCACCTAAAGCGAGTAATCAAAAACATGGTAAAATAATCAAAAGGGTCAACTCCATGCTGCAAGAATACAAGAATATTTACAAGCATATTTCTACATAAATAAATATTTGGTTGCAAGTTTGGTCTGCTACCCATATGAATTAAAGCAGAAAGAAAAACTTAGAAGGCCCAGAGACATGCTATTAACTAACTGCATCTCTCAAAGAGATGCCACAACAGAACTGGTCCAGAAGACATACAGTAGAACTGACGTGATATTAAAGCCAGAATCTTGTACACAGAATATATGATATCAACCTGAACCTTTCCATCTACTTCTGGATCAACAGATATGATTCAAAAAGCAACTCCTTAATTTTTTTTTAGATGTAGACTCTTGGTCTGAAAAGTGAAGTCAGAAATGCAGAAGTTAAATAAACCTAATGGACAAATGGGGGCGGTTCCAAAAAGAAGTCTATTAGAGAATAGAAAATAGATTGTCTCACGTTGTTTAATACTTCATTAAACATGCTCCTCATGAGTTAATGGTCTAAGCCAAATGTTTAAAGTGACGGCCAAACAAGCATGATGTTATTTTATATTCGTCTGGCCCATTTAGGGATCTACGCTCCTACTGTTACCTAAGGCCACAGGCAGTGGGTAGTGACTGAGAGAATGAGACTCCAGATAGAAGACGCAGAAACGAGCTCAAATGGTGTCTGTTCGGGAGGTGCTCAGAGTAGAACGCTCAACCCAAAACAGAAGAAAGCAAAACTAATGAACGATGTCAGAGTAGCTTGGTACATCATTTATTTACAGTATTCTAAAAGACTTTGTTTGGAACTGGTTAGAAAAAGGTTGATACAATGTATAACAATTTGTATCTATAAAACAGACTTGGCATTATTTCAGAGATTGAATTATATTTTAAATTAGTTATTAATCTACAGTCTGCTTATTTTAATTAGTTCTAAATTTCAAAAATCTTCAATGTCACCAAATGCTTTGTGTGTAGAATGATACAAAGTTGCTTAGACAAGGCAAGCTCATTCAAGAGTAGATAACTGCACAGCACAAATGATGAAACAGCTAAAGATACAACATGAAGCAGAAACAACAAAAAATACAAAGGAGCAAAAAGAAAAGGTGTGCGAGATGCATCAAAAACTAAAAGCAGACAAGGCTTCAAAAAAGGCAACAATACAGGCAGTAAGTGAAAATGCAGACTTGATTTTAAACAAACATGAACTTGCAGAGACTGAACAAAGAAAGGAAAAAGAAAAATCCTAGGAGACACATAACAATCCGGGCTCTGTGCGACTGTGAGAGCTGCAGCTACATCGACTTTATATAAGAATTAAAAAAAAAAACAAAACTAAGCCACATTAGACAGTCCTAAAATCACTCAGATCATCATTTTGCTCCTTGTGAAAAATCATCGTAATCAACTTCAAAGAAAACTGAGGCTGAATAATAAACGAGTATCCGAGCGTAAATCCCCAGATTTAGACCGAGAAAGACAGAATTAGTGGGTCATCATGATCACACTTGATTAGTGATATTAATTAGAGTGTGAGTCATTTTCGTTGCAGTGTTGAGTGCACACATCAAACTCTCTTACTGAGAGACAGTGAAGGATGGAGTTGTCTAACACAGGACAACAGGCACAAGACAACAAATATTAGCGCAGTGAAGATAGTTAGTCACATCTTTTTAAATAGCTCTCCACAGTATTTCCAGAGAAACACTACATTTTAAATGGTCAAATTGTCAGGTATACACTCGTTAGGCGAGGTGTCCAGCTTATTTCTGTTCATGGCTGGGCCTCACACATACGCAGTTTGATCTTAACAGCGCTGGATCAGTAAAAGCATTGCATAATACCCAATTTATATATATATATATATATATATATACACCTCCAGATTAGCCCATTTCTTTTAGTGCAAAAAAGTCCAAACATATTTTGAAAAGGCTCACACTTAATGAACCATCCAGCTATAAAACAGATGATTCACGTTCAGTCAGTCCGCTGTCATTACAAAGAAACGCTCCTGTCGTAAATCAAAATAATGTGTGGGCACAGCTCCTTGGCTGAAGCATCCCGCTTCAGTGCGGCATGGCAGGCCATAGGTAATGTCTTTGTCAGGCTGTAAAACTGATGATGATTCAGACCTCTGGCTCCAATTAAATTAACAGTTCAGACAATCTCCCTCAAGACTTGATCCGTTTCTAATGATTTATGACAAAATACTTCCTGGTGCAAAACAATAAAAAGTTATTCTCTTGTTATCTGCAATTTCCAGTTCGCAAAGCAATCCAGTCCCCTGGATTGGACCTTTTGTCGGCTCAGTTTTGGCCTGTATGTCTGACGCTTTAGGATTTAGGCACGAAGTTTGCACAGTTTAAATAAATCTGACAATTTCAAGGTTGATTTCAGTTCAGTATGAAAATCAGCCTTCCAATGTCTTCTTGTCAGCCTTCTTGCTCGATGTAGCTACTCCAACACTATGTCTCTTCACTGTAGCTGCCTTTATTTGCTCATAACGTTTTATTGCACTAGCTGTAAAGCAGCACAGATACCCGCTCCTACAAATAAATGTTTAAAATGAATTTCCAGAAATTCTTTCACTATGTTTTAGGTTGCCTTGAGTTTATAAAAACCATCAAAAACAGTTTAGGGGTCACATTAAAACTCCTTACTGCTGGCCTTGACTGCTTTACTTCAGTGTTACACAGACTACAGTAAATGCTGCATAGAGGACTACCTATTCATACTACATACAATATTCTTTTTTTTAATTAAGTAATTTCTTTACAGGTTTATGTTTACCAAAATTAAGCAACATGTTCCACTAAAATCCCTGTGAATAACATATATTAAGTATGGGTTGGTAGAGTTAGAGCAGACAGAATCATCTGTACACACATCTGTAGGTCAAGCAAAAATCGTAGCCTGCCATGACACCTGCATGCAAGCCCGATATAAAACTGTCTCACAGTCTAAGTGTTTTCTAAGTGTTGGAGGACGAAACTGAAAGCAGCCCGACATCCTTCCTCTAACAAATTCAGCTCTTACAAGAGCCAAATGGAATCGGATCTGATTTCCTCCATCTTCATAACTCCCCCTCCTGCTTGTGATCATCCTGAGCGCCGGAATGCTTCCTCGCTCTCTCTGCGGTTGATTCTGACTCAAGGAATGCAAGAGCGACAGAGAAGACGAGGTCAAGAGTGTATTCTCTCCTGCAGCTGCCCGTGGAGCACGTTAAAAACACAAAGTAATTCTCAGTGTTTGGGGTGTGCATGTTCGTATGCTCGAAAATAGTGAGGTCGATGAGCACACACGATGATTCACTGTAAAAACAGAGACAGCCTTTGAGTCTTTTAATGTTTTTCTAAGGCGGCTCATTATTTCTTGCTCACATGAAAAAAACATGACTGAAGGCATGATCTTTGGTGTGTAGCAGAGGAAAAAGAAGACCGTGTGTCTATACACAGCCAGTTACAAACATGTTTATTTGTATTAGCATTTTTTTTAAAAGAGCAATTGTAGGGAGCCCTGTGCACTCGAACAGTCAGGGTGGCGGAGCAACATTTGGCAACGGCAAAGCAAGCTAATGAGTTACAGGCTGCGTCTTCAAGCAGGGAATTGTGGGGATATTTAAACATGGGCGTGCGCACTGGCTTTAATTAAACAGCATTATTGTTGCAACATTACACACACACACACACACCAATAAAAGTCTGCATTCTCAAAAAACAACAAAAACAACAATGTAGTCATCACCAAAAAAAAAAAAGCTTTTCTGAAAGGTGTGGTCATGGAAAGTATTTTCACATACTGTAAATCCACCCAGACACATATAGAATTACACACACACACACAGGCGTGACCGTAACGTCAGAAAGTAGCGATCTTCGGCCGGGGCGTGTGGATGTCATAAGGCCTGCATTCTAATTGGCTGCTGCACAAAAAAGATCCAGATCATTTCCTTGGCCGACTAGATGGTGCCCTTTAGAGTGACCTGACAAAATATAAAGCTCATCAAATTAAATTTCTTGCACAAGTTTGTTAAAGTCCAAGACAAGAAAATGGTCAAAACTCTGCCAAGACTGCATGTTACATTCAAAATGCCTGACTTCCTGTTGGGCATAAGGTATGGCTCAAAACTCCAGGCTTTTTGTCTATCTTAAGAGAAAACAACAGAAATGCAGATTAAATATGGTGCTGGGGTGGCTTCACTGAAATATTGTAGGTGGCACAAAACAGCCATTTTGCCACACTGACGTGCAAAAGCCATTAAATATAAACTGCACGAAAGGTGATTCATGGAGAATTTCCATGGCCCTAGGGTGGACTGCCATAATCTTCACACTAAAGCATAATCAAGGCTTTAAGCGCCTTGATGTAACTGTTGTGATTTGGTGCTGTGGAAATACAGCTGAGCTGAACTGAAGGCTTGAAGTTTACTCGCAGAACCTTTCAGGTGAATATGGTGAACTTGTGAGGAGTTCATCAAAGTAAAATTGACATTTCCTGTTCCCACTAGCTGGTGCTCAAAATATCATTGACTATTGGGATATAGATGTCTGAATCTTATTAAGTGTCAAGTTTGGAACAGACTGAACAAGGCCTATTTCAGTTATACTATTTTGGCTCCTCGTGGCAGCACATCAAAGTTTGGAATGCCACCAGCGGATCCACCATTTAATAAAAACTCACAGCCCTCATAATAATGTAACATCAACTCTTTGAGGGTTAACTGGTCAAAATTTAGTGCGCTGATCCTGCCTCATTCAGAGTGTAAAACATGTTAAATACTGTCATATATGAACTCTTATAAATCATGTCAAGCTTGGGGCTAGGTGGACAATTTATGTGTGAATTACACATTAAAATTTAATGCTGAATGACTAAAACTCGCCACTGCGTCACGGACACGACAATCAAAAGAAAGTCAAAAGCTTCACAATGTAGCATGACCAAAGTCTTTAGTTCAAGACTGATCAAATATGAAGATGATTACATTAAACTATGAGGAGTTTATTTAAGTAAAATCCCCAGATTCATTTGACAGAAACATAATAATGCAACAAATTAATTACAATATGGCCTTCGCACTGTCAGTGCTCGGGCCTTAATAAACCATAAGTGAGTTTTTTTCCCCCCTTTAAAGTATCAGCTAATGACAACCTCATTTTGATGAATTCAGCCAGTTTCCCTAAACTTGCTGATCCACACACAAATACGCAGTGAAATAGACACAAATACATGCACTCCTACACACACGCAGCCACACGTTCTCTTGCACGATATTGACTCCGTCTTATCTACTAATTGGAAAAGCAGATAGACGGGGGGAAGGCTGAGTGAAAACACACCTAGTAATCAACTCTCGCTCAAAGACTAAAACCCATTTCACGGATCAAGGTCCTCTTACTCTCCTGCCTGTCTACTGTGCATGTGCCCCTTCCTGTCACTGTTACGCCTCTCAGTCAGTCTTACTCTCCATCGCTCCAAAAACCTTCATTTCTGATGCATGTTCCTCTACTGAAGCAAAAAAAAAAAAAAAGATGAGGGGGCTGCTTTCCACCTCCCTGAGCCAACCTTGACATATCTTTTCAGCTGTTGGCTGGATGCACATCGTCTGCCTGTCTGAAGACTGAACAACCTTCAACCTAAAACCACTTGCACTCACACACAGACACAGTCAACATTGAAATTCTGCTCACATGATATATGAATTACACACATAACGTATATTATAAAAGTGTTGTTGAAAAAAACATTACATCACTAAAATGATGCTTTAGCTGTTGTGACAGGGTTTAGGATTTATTTATGGGCAGCAATTGTGTAAATATGACTGCCCACAGTCACCACATGTTCATTCATGAGTTTACAGAAACCTTGCAGAATAAAGGTGCTCAGAATGGTGCTTTCATTCACTGATTGCAATATTAAGACACAATTACTGTTGGGTTGGCTACGTCAAGCAGTTTTACAACACATATAATAAACACAAGCACGGCCCTGCTTTACTTCTTTGTGACTGTGAGCAATCAGACAAAAATCCCTGTGCTGATGTGCTAATGAAAACTGTTCTGGTAGCACTTTATCATCAGCTGGATTTAACAGCAGCCTTGAATGAATGAATCGCTCTAAAACCACATGCAGTCACAAAAAGAACATTTTCACAGGTATTCACATGCAATCCTGTGAAGAACTAGGTACACCCTCACTGCTTCCATAGGAATTAAGAGTGTAAATAGCAGATAGGTGCACTTGATTAACTGATCATCAGCAAGTGTGAGCACCTCGAGTTGCTGGTCTGGAGCATTCAGGTATGTACAATGTTCCCAGGACTGGATGTCCCAGCCAATTCACCCCAAGGTCAAACTGTGCCAGTGCTCAGAGAAACTGGCAAAAACCCAAGAGTTTCATCTCAGACTCTCCAGGCCTCAGTTAGCATACTGCATGTTAAAGTTCATGACAGCACGATTACTAAAAGACTAAATAAGTATGGCTTTTTGGGCAAAATTCCCAGGAGAAAGCTGCTTCTCTTTAAAGGGAACATTGCAGCATGGCTTAATTTTGCAAAGCTGCATCTGAGGGAAAACGCCCACACAATTGTTTTGGAACAATATCTTTTCAACAGGCAAACCAAATGAGGAGATGTTTGACCATAATGGTCACGTTATGTTGTTGAAAACCAAACAGAGCACATCAGCAACTATTAGCACAGCTGGGCTTGTTTTGCTTTAACCGACCTGGGCACCTTGCAGTCATTGAGTAACCTAGAGTTAAATGTGAGGACATCTGTGTGATAGATAAAGCTTGTCCCAAATTGGGTCAGACTAAAGGACAATGATGAACAAATCTACAATAGAGCAGCATTAAAAAAAGGATCAAGGTGCTGAAATGATCCAGTCAGAGTCCAGACCTCAACCTGACTGAAATGCAGTGGTGGGGCCTTAAGACAGCTGTGAAAAAACCCTCACAAACATCAATGAACTGAAGCAACATTGTGGGCAATAATTCTTCATCACTGATGTGAGAAACATATACAGTCATAGAAAAACTGATTACTTCCAGTTACTACAACTAAAGGTGGTCCCATAAGCCATTTAATCACAGAGCACTGTGTAAACTTCCCGTTTCACATGACCGTATCTACTGTCATGAAATCCTGCACACTGATTCTCACCAGAGCTCAACTGGCAGTTTTGAAACCAACACAAATGGTGCTCAGCAGAGTTTGTTTTAACACAGTGTAAAAGCTCTCCAAAAACATTTGTCTTTTAAATGTTTTTCTCCATGAAAACCATTCTCAAATGATTTTCAAAAAGGAAAAACAGAAGCTGGTTGAAACTGGAAAAATAATAATAATATGAATTGTGGGAAGCTTTGTGAACACCACAAAAAAACCCCAAACAAAACACAAACATTACATCTTTGGAAAACATTCTGCTGTCAGTGTTGGTGACACTGGATAGATTTGACATGTATAATTTCCTGTTATTAATATTAACATATAATGATTTATGTTTATACTTACTACACAACATAACACAAAGAGGATATTTAGGCCATGCTTCATACAATATGAATACCGAATTAGGAACTCCTGACTGTTTTTCAGGAAGTTCAAATTCCCTCGAGATCTTTGAGGGCACCACACCCTCTCTGCTCTCCGAGTATCAAAGTTTAATAACTTCCTAACAAATACTCAGAGGTGCTTCTAACCTACATTTATTTTTGCATGTTATCCCATTTTAAGATATGACATTTTTACTAGACATTTCTTTAAATCTCCTATCTAAAGTTTTTCTAATTTTGCTATACTGTATAGGTGATGCCATTTAAAAATAATAACACTAATAAAAGATGTATTATTGTTATTATCATGACAAAACACAGGATTTGTTGCTGGGAGAGGCAGCTCACCCTTCTAGGCGGACGTCAGGCAGCGAACGATTGAGAGCAATCATCTCCGAGGCCATGAGGTTGAACTGGTTGATCTTAAACATTTCCTTCATTTTCTCCTGCTGCTCTTTAGGGATCACCACAGGTTTCCCTCCTTCACCAGGCCCATCTCGCGGTCTGGACATGGTGTCTACAGAGGATACATATTCAGCTTTTCAAACTTGATGCTTGACAGTGCCATAAAAATGTGTCTGTGTATGGGTTTGTGTGGTGATACACCCTCACCGTCTCTCCCGGGCAGTCCTCTCGGCTTCTTATCATCACACTTGTTGCACTCGCTGAAGTAGAGCAGAATGAACATGTCCAGCATCACCCAGACCAGAGAAGTGGCCAAAACCACCTTACAGTAGGCGAACCTCCGCATCCTGAAAATGTAGAGTGAGAAGAGGGAGGTAGTTACCATCAGAGGGTTTCTTTGAAAGCATGGTAGAGGAGGCAACTCTTCTCATATCTTTCCCACCTTTCTACTCAGTCCACTCAGCGTTTGGCCTTCCTACAGCTCTGAGCCTCAGAGTGCTGGAAACACTTCTACCTGTCCATCAGTCTGCCTGACTCCTGTCTCCTATCTGTCAAGCTTTATATCAGGGCCCCTCTAAGTGGTCATCTCTACACTCAGTGAGATTCTCAAAATGACGGACTCCTGTCTTACTGGAGAAACAAAGCAATAAATCTATAAGGGTGGTTAACTAAGAACAATGAATGTTTATAATTGTTTATAGAGTAGATTTTGTTTTTTTTAAAGGCAGTGGTTCCAGAATGGGGCTGCCAAAGAACATCAGTGTACTACGTCCAAGTGTTCCTTGGGATTTTGTGACAACCATACATAAATATTGCATTACACAACTGCACAAAGACAAACAAATTTTTAATTTCCTGTGTGTTGACAAATTCTATCCACTAAAAAATAAACTAAAAAACAAAATCCCAGAAAAGTCTGTTTGTACAGTTTCTAGATGGTGCATATTACAAATATTTGACACAAATAAAACCTATGATTGAGTCAGGACTGACAGCAAGGGGGGGGGGGGATTTATTTTTATGGCAAGCTAGCCACAACTAACCAATGCCAAGGACCCCACAGCTAAACAAAAGGGAAAAATGAAAACTGCATGTAGATGGTGTCCTGTAAGCTGGCCATCTTATAGCTTCATTGTGTCAACCCCCTGCCCTCTGGCCTGCGTGCGTCATCTGTTAGAAGAAGTTGGCTAAGGTTGACATGCCAAGCAAGTTAAGGAGGCACTTGGAAACCAAATATCCCTTTTGAGAGTCGCTTGGCACGCTTCAAAAAGAGAGCTGGATTTGAACCAAAGGAAGCTAAACTGTTTGTTGGATTGCAGGAACGTGTCTGATAAGGTGTTGGAGGCAAGTTGCATTCCAGAGGACCTTGTGACACATTCTTTTAGAATATTACAGGTGTTGTATGGTAGGTCCAGGTGGTGTAAAAAAAAAAGCAATCACAAGAAGAACTGATGACATCTCAGATGACACTCAGAGGCTGTTATACAGGTGTGACTTGAAAATCTGTCTTGCCCTTTGGGCACAAAAAGTTTAAAAACCAATGTTTTACGATATCTAAACAACACTCTAACTACTGTCCAGTTCTACACAACAACCATCTAGTATATCAGTATTCCCAAATACCCTGCAGGATATGAGCCAATCTACCCTTTGTACATTTAACATACCAAATCCCTGTGTGCTAAAGTGCAGTCAGACACCCACTCAAAGGTAAGCACAAACACACACACACAAACACACACACACAGCAGAGAGGGGAGCTATGATAGTAATTGCTTTTCGTTGGCAGGCAGCAAGAGACAAGACACAGCCACATTAAAATTCCACTGCTCCCCTTTCCTTCTCTCCTTCAGCACCATCTCCCCTCTCTTTGGCTGATTCTCTGCCTCAATGATCCCTCAGGTTGCAGCAGCACAAGCAGAAGGGAGAAAATTAATTTGGCCACGGTGATTTCTCTCGTGCCCCCGGGAGGAAAAAAACGGTGTTTGTGCACAGCTAGCTTAGCTTAGCTTAGTTTAGGTTTGCTTAGCAGCCAGGGAAATAAGAGAACTGCAGAACAGCGTTTCTAAATTCCACCTGATAGGATTCTGGAAGCACAAAGTGCCGTGTACAGCAGAAAACAAGAGGGAAGATTTAACTGTTTGTCTTTCCTCAGACTTCTGTTCCTGTGAGTCAAGTAGTTTTAGTGTTCAGGTTAGAGCTGTAATGTCCGTATATGATGTGCATATATGTAGTCCAGGGATGGGATTCGAGAACTAGAATATCTAATCTATCAGATGCAGCTGCAGAGTAAGAAATTATGGCATCAGACTCAGAGCAGTGCACACATGAAAGCCGTTTTTATCCTGCTTCTGTTTCAAATAATAAAACATCTGTGGGCCTTTTCCTCACACAGAAAATTGATCAAGAATCAATAAGCAAATAGATAAAGAATAAGGCCTATTAGCAGAATCAATAATGACACTGGTATTGATGAAATCTTATCAATAATCATCACTAATGTACTCTCCAGCAGAGTTGGGCAAATTACTGTTCTCGGATTAAAAGCTGACTCAACTTGGAGGCGTAAATTTAAAAAGGTCTTGTCAGCTTGTCTTGTACTTCACAGCATTTTGTAACTTTGCAAGATTTTATCTCTCAGGTTCACACACAAAAGAAAAATAAATTGGTGCAGGGCATCCACCCACCAGCACATACACGCTTAACTGTGATCTCTCACCCCCTGGGGAGAGAAAAAGAATTCAATAAAATCTATTGAACTGCTGCACCACAACTTTTGACAAGGTTAAAATGTAACATGTTACATCAGTTTATACATTCCCACTTAGCCACTCGACCAGTTTCAGTTTGAGTAAGGTATAAAAGAAAACAAAGCACTTATTGCAAACCACCTCATATCAGCCTTTAGCAACATTTCCTGACCATCACTTCTGCAGCTCTGTTAGATAACATCAGACACACAAAAGAAATATTAATTACAAGAATTTTTAAAATAAGAAATAAAAACGTTTTAAAATAAACATTAAACATCTGTTTTTAATATCTGTAGAGGAAAAGCAAGTTCAGGGAAACTCTTGTGAGGATATAGTAAGTGGGATATTGTAAGCTAGTAACGTAGAGCTTAACATAGATGTGTAAATCATAGATATTTATACATAAAACACACTTCAGACAAATACGTTTTGTGTATATCATTACTGTTTAATCTATCATATTTGTGAAGGACTACTTTAAGACGTAGAAAAATAACTGTGTTTTAAATGTTGCCACTAAACAGCAGAAAAAATGTGAATGTGAATAAAAATTTAAATGTCGTATTTCTGTATGAATGATAGAAAAATATTACCGGTAATATAACAAATAAAAACTGTTTAATTGTCATCAAATGGGAACTTCCTGACCTGGGATGAAAAAAAAAATATACTCAAACCAGGAAGTGAAGCTCTTTGGATGTTAAAACCTCCAGAGCTATACCAGGAATAAACATCTTTACAATCTGGTACAAAGAAAATGTTTGGTCTCCATTACTTTTCATTGAAAAGGCAGCATGTGTACAGGAAGCGAATCTTTACATAACCAACAAATTATGTTCCATTAGGGTCTAATTAAGTCATAATTAATGCAGTGGCTGCCTTTAGTTACTGGTGGCTACTGACAGGCTAATCGACTGCAGCTAATCGAGTAATAGAACTGGACTTCTAGATCATGTTTGTGGTGTTAAAGCAAATTTACCGCACTTCTCTGACAGCGGGAAATAGAACCATTTAGAGTGTGAGAATCTTTTAGTTTTGTTTTACTCACACTACTGTACAGTTTGACCTGTTCATGCTCTCTGCAGACTGATATACTTTAGATGGTCGCTTAGATAAGGTCTGCATGCTAAAAATGGGCCTCTTTAGCCTAGTGGTTGCTAGGACACATAATGACACCATGATGATATGGATAAAGCTCGTCAAGGGGCCTACAATGCATCTGTGTGGCAAATTTGTTTGCACAGATTTTTTGTATTATAGTAAGATGTTAAAACTAATTAGCACACATATGTGAGTGTGGACGCAAAAAACCTTTCTAGCATTAGTTACCATAATAACATAATCATTCATTACATTCTCTTTTAACTGGCTCCAAAAAGCCAAAGACACAACCGGCAAAATGCCAAAACCAAGACTTCAAAATCATCTCCAGGTCTATCTTTTAAATACAGTCTTGCTATTGTCCCTAACATCTTTATATACAGTTATACAAGAAACTAATGTTTAATAGGTGATCATTGTGGCATCTGGCAGTCTGCACTCATGCGTGACTGAAGGAGAGCTACAGGGGTTGCTGCGTTCTGTAAAGCTGCTACCGTACTGAGTGTTGAACTGTGCAGTATGTTCACATTACTAACATTAGTTATGGTTCACAGCAGAGGTGCTAGAGGTTTGTGCAGCGATATTGGTGAAAAAGCTGAGTGCACTTACAAAATTACCATGCTATAGGATGTGTTATTGTATCTCTTTATAGCTCTCACATTTGCTTTACCATTGATGTTATCTTCTGTTGTTTTTTCCTGTAAGCCACAGTGCAGGACCCGACCACATCTGTAATGCACTTTAAACTCAAACCCAGCTTGATCTTTTGTCACAATTTGGACTGAAAACCATCATAAAAGGAAACATGCCAGTTATAAAATCGTTCGTAGTAGATTACTGGAAAATAACGATTTGGAAAATTCAGATTCCCCCGGATATCCTGAAGGAATTTACCAGACTGTTTATCTCACTTTTTTCCATCCTCTCAAAATTGTTCAAATTCCAGGACTAGCAGGAAGCCTGAATTTCAGTACTCGCTCTGCATTCTCTGTCCTTTCTGTTTCACTGACAGCTGCTAGACTGCGTCGGCCTTGCTCGACCTTTATGAAACAACAACACAAAACCACACAATGTAGCAGAATCTTGGATATATTTCTCTCTTCACCGTTTCTGGCGAAACACATACAAAGCAGAGCTCTTATATGAATACAGACACAAACATCGGAGCCTTCCATCACAGAAAAACTTACATATTCCTGTTCACAGCATCATGTCAAAATGCTGTCAGATGGATGTCAGCTTCTTTCCGGAGATGCCATTTGATCACAGCGAATGTAGACCGCAGTGCTTCAAGCAACAGATACATTAAATAAAAGCACGTGCACGCACACACTCCTGCTTACTGCTGTCTCTCAGCCATGCCTCTCCACTCACTGTATTTCTAATCAGGCATGGCAGAGGACACCTCCGGTCTCCCTGGTGCTCTGGGCTCTGCCTCTCTGTGTGAGTGTCTGTCAGTTTAGTTTATGTTGGGTGCTAGTCTCTTTGAAGTC